ATTTTGAAACGTTGAATATTTGAAATTTTGAAACTTTGAAACTTTGGATCTTTGAAATTTTGAAACTTTGAATATTTGAAATTTTGAAGCTTTGAAATTGTGAAAGTTCGAATATTTGAAAGTTTGAAACTTTGAAAATTTTAATATTTAAAAATTTCAATGTTTCAGAATTTGAATCTTTTCCTTATTACTACCATGTACCAAAGTGTCATCAATATCGACGATTATCACTTCGCGATGTTCCGTTATGACTTTAATTGCAAGGACTGATCGCATCTCTCAACAACGTAGTAGGCGTCAGAATGAAATCCTTCACCTGTACTACATTGATACTGAATTAGTGGAATTAGCAACTAAGAAACCAGGTCGCTATGTTCTACACAGGAGACATTGTATGAATCACGTCCGCTGATTAGGTATCGCGCCACTCTTAGATAATTTTGGAAAAATAGCTACGTATCATTTCTTTCACACTTTCTTTCCCCCTTTTTTCTTCTGTAACAATCTTTCTACGACTTTACCGACACATTTATTAATAAAAATGACGCCATCGATGTTGCTTGCGTCAATTAAAAATATTTTTCCACAGAAATATAGCAATTAAAATTAGAAGAAGAAAAATGTTGTTTAAATAATTCGTTACCATGAATAATTTGCCAAATTGAAAATCGTGGAAACGATGGAAACAGAAAAAATTGAGAGATGAATTTGCAAGCACAACACACAATAAATGCTTCTGCATCGGATTACATTGCTTCCAATCGATGACGTTCAAGTATCTCATACAGCTCTAAAATTAAGCCTCGACAACAGCTCACAATGACATGTATGAAAACAAGTCTTGTCGATGCATTTCATTCTTTCTTCTTTCCCCTGCACTTTCGAGATCGAATATTTTCATTTCCATGCACAGGTGCAACTGTTTCGCTGAAAATATTTTTCACGTAAAGATTTGCATAATCTTTCATTCGTCTGAATGTGAACGAAATTACAGATTTTTCTTTTTTTTTTTTTAAGTGACGGAAGATCGGTTGAAATTAGTAATAATTGCACATTTATGCAAATTATCGAAATAAAAGGGGTAATTACCATGATAAAGGCTCTATTGTTCGAAAAAAAGAAACAGAAATTAAACGAAAAAGACGAATTGTATAATAAAACGACGATAAAATTAGTATGTATCTTTATAGCACGAATTCAGATAAGATTATCCTAATATCCAAAGTAATATGAAACGTTATCAGCAATTATTCCAACTACCGTATTTATGATATTTGTAGCTAATCGTTTTCGAATCTATTTCCAGTAACATAGCACCTAACGTGCCGTGAATGGAAATAATGGCAAAAAATGGCTACACCTAAAAGTAACAGCGAGAAAAAACAGCTGGAACGACTTCTTCCGAGACATTCAACGACTGTGAAATTGCACCCACTGCTCGTTACCACACGGCAATTTTCTGGATACAATTACTACCGTTCAACGGAGAAAAAGGGATAGTCTGACGCCTCTGTAATATGTGACCCTGATTTATTTCTCCGTGCCTATTTCGAGAAATATAAATGCGAGTACAATTAAATCTGAGATCGTTATAAAATCATGAAATCACACCTGTAAGTAATTATTCACAGACAAAGAAAATAGTGATTTTCTTAAAAAATTCGAAATATCCATTCTTCTATTTCAAGCATTCTATTTTTGTCAGGTATGTAAGTATGAATGTAACATGGCTACTGAACCTTGTGAATTAACCTCGTAGTTAAAACTTGTGCTTACATATCGAAGGGAAATATTTATTACATAAAAATTGAACGCAGAAAAGTTACTAGTTTCGTTTTTATTTTTCTCGAGGAAATATTGACACGTACGAGAAACTTCTGTGTCGTAAATATTTAGTTTGTTAATTTTGCCGGTTGTACACTTCGTTTATTTTCGCTTAAAGAAAAGAAAATTGTTTGCTTTTTAAACAACCAGTACACGAAGGTACGCGGCAAACATTGGTTCTGCTCGTGTGGCATTAGTTCACGTTGCACTCGACTTCTCCCAACTGTTGCATCTGATGTAGTTTATATAGGGTAGAGAGATCGTTTCTAAATGCACTCGCCGGTCATTCTATTTACAGAATATACATATTTCGCGATGCTGTCGCGTTTATTACTTTCACGAGTTTCTTTGAAGTTCCACACGTGAATTTTCTCCAATATTTTCGGCATGATAACTTTATCACATCACGCGACCTTTCACATTCGCGACACCTTCGTCAAACCTTACACGAATTTGATTTTATCGAAAGTATCATGGCACATTGAAATCGCACGAGTTCGACTTTAGGTTAAGCGTCGAAAGCATTTCGCAGAAAATACACTGTCACCGGTGCTATTTTTAATTTTCTTGTCACACCATGTGTATTTACGTATACAGGGCACACTTTCTAACGGAAAATAACATTACACATGTAGTGGTAACTCTGAAAATGAATCTTCATCTCCTATGTCTCCCTCTCACTCTCGTGTTCTCGTTTAATTTCTAGCGTTCGATAATTCACGTAGGACGACCGGATACAGCCTAACGCGTATACAAAGAAAAGGAGCTACTTCAGTATCGTGTCTATAATCTAATAGAGCTCGTAGCGGTATAGAAACTCGACGAAAACGATTTCAATGACGATGTTTATATCAATCCCACGCACAATATACCTTACAAATTACAGGCGTACGCAGCACACTGACAAGTGGAGTTAACCCTTCGAATTATCGAATAACCGATCATGCCACATTGTTATTTCGCGACTATTTCTGAGACGTACGTTGCAACCACTGTTTTTACGAAGATCATAACACGTAGAATTTCACGGTGTTACGATTTCGAAAATGTTAGTCGATCCGAAGCATGACGAATCTTAACCTTGACGCTTACTATGAGAGTAATCCAGGGGCAACTGCGGCAGGTTCAATCGCAAGAAGGATACTTGATAAAAGTGACAGATATCCGGCTGTAATCTAAAGTTCGATCGATGCGCCCTCCTTTTGGGCGGTAGAAAGGCAAATAAGGAGAAGCGAATGCTTGGGTAAAAAAATGGAAAGAAAGTAATCGCTCACCTGGTCGATCGGCAGATCAATGAAATTTGCCAGCCAGGAAAACGACCGGGAACCATCATAGTAGTCCTCCACGGTCGCGGTCATTGTCAACAGTCGTACAATCAGTTAAATAAGCGCGCACACCACACCACCGTAACGTTGCCGTGCCTCGGACGGCACTAACGTGTGTCTCAGATAGGACACGCGTCCACACCGTTTCGTTTCTCTCCCTTGCGGGTATGATCGTTAGAACGAGATGAATTCACGCAACTATGACAGCGATGACGCTGTGAACGACGGTTCCTGAAATGCAGCGCCGCTACGTTCCGCGCCGGCTAACAGACTTGCCGGCACTCAGGGCCGTATCCACAAGTGGCACGATCAATTGCACGTGATAGGAACTGTTGATCCCTGACATCCCGGCGCATACGTATGTAGCTACAATACTGTGTACTTACGAATGGACTCGTACGATCTGGCGTGACTTTAACGCAATGATTACTAAAATAACGACCATGACGAAATCCAAATTTTAAATTACATAATTCTTTCTTTCATCAACTTTTCTTTTGCCATGTGTTTTTTGTATACACGCCGCGGTAATTCCTTAATTGTAAAGTCATGAAATTTTACTAACTTTGTTACACTATTAATTAAATAACTTGGTTCAAAGAAATTTATTAAACTGCAGTTGCGGATCCTCGTTTTATTATACTATTCGTAAACAGTGATTTATTGTTTTCATTGTCACAGAATTATAATAATTACGACGTCCAAAGACTTTAATAATAAGAATTTTTATTGAATACCTGCAAAATATTGTCAATGAAATTACATTAGTGGATTATTGTCAAAACGTAATGAGTGAATTTGTATCGTAAATGTATTTATATGTAAATATACTGAAATTACATTCGAAAATAAACTAAAAGTGAAAAAATTTTGTTTTACTGAATTTGTTAAAGTATATGTGAAATATGTGAAAGTTGTAAATAATAGGTACGTAAGTACGTAAGTACAATAGGAAAGTAAGCAAACCAAATGTAGGAAATTAACGTCGATTACTATAACTGCGAGAAACAAATTATAGTGTTACTGAAAATCAACCGTAGCGAGAGAAGAGTATGGCTATTATGGTTTCAATGAATACCGGCACCTAAGATTGATTTCTTGCAACGTCTAAATGGAATTATTATTTCCAGGCATCCAAATTTTTACATATGCATTGTTACATATATTTTCGAAGTTTTACATATATTTTATAAACATCTTATTTATCAAAACAACCAATTATTATTATAATGGCATCATGATAAATTAATCGTTTAAAATTTAAGAGCAATATTTAATAACAAATTGTTCATTTTTAAAATGAATTTCATTGTAAACTCGTGATAAAACAAATAGATATGAAAGGAAAACGTAACATAACATTATTGAAAATGATTTTGTAGATTAATTATCAATAAAGTGAAAATACTATTTTTTATTACAAATACCAATTTTTATATCAGTTTTCGTATCTATTAGTAAGACAAGAATTATATGTAGTTATTTAAATTATTTATAAGTTATTTGTAACACATACAAACACAATCATAAAAATAATTTCAAACTAGTTCATTTGCATAATCACATATTTTTACATTTCCATTTTATTTGTGTTTAATATTTTACTGATTCATTAGCGTAATCAAATATCCAATGCTTCATACAGTCCAGTTTCTAGTAACATTTCACAAGTTAAATAAAATCTCATTCATGTATTATATTAGTTACTAGATACATGCCGGTAAAAAACTATTTTAGTGAATATTAGTAGTTAAGACCACGTGTGTTCCTGAAAGACTAGGATATTGTTAATTTTCGAAAACAGTATTTAGGCTGTTTTGTAAAATTAAATAAATAAGATATATTCAGAAAATGGCTGATAATTTTTCTATGGAAGGTAGCAAGGTTGCTGGCGCAGACGCTGAACTACAAGAATTTCTCTTAACTGAAAAGCAGAGAGCACAATTTCAAGCTCAGGTATAGTATATGTAAGAAATTGAAAGTAAAAAAGTATTGTTTGCCTTACTTATAACTTTTTCAAATAGTTTAGCATTTGTTATAACATATCAAAAAGGTTATTGTATTGAATATTGTGTATATAACATGTAACATGAAGGTAAAGTTTTAGATTATTAATATTCTTGTTATAAAATTGTTGATAACATGAATAATTTTTAACTATCATTATATTACTGTAAAAATAAATACTCAATATTAAAGAATATCTCAAATATTTGTATTGTTCGTAAAGGTTTATGAAACTGTTTTTTAATGTAATTTTAGATACGTGAATTCAACGACATTTGTTGGGAAAAATGTGTTGATAAACCAGGAGTCAAATTGGATAATCGAACAGAAACATGTTTAAGCAATTGCGTTGATAGGTTTATAGATGTTTCACTTTTAATTACAAATCGGTTTGGACAACTTTTGCAAAAAGCTGTAGGAAACATGTAATATTGAATACATTGTGTATATAACAATTGTATTGTTATAGACTGCAAGAAATAAATCATTTTTATTTCATTTAAAATATTTGGTGCATAAGAGAAAAATACAAAATTATTTAATGTTGAATAAATAATAAATAGAATTCTGTATTTTCTTCAACAAAATCATTTTTTAAAATATATTTATACAAAAAGTTTAATATATATGTTACAAAATGTACATTTTAACTTACAAGTAGCTTTAAAATTTTGTAATTCTTCAGGGAATTATGTAGAAACATTGTGTATTATAATTTTAATGTCACAATAAATATGTTCTTAATTTTAAAAATGTTACATACTACTTTAACACTACATTACATGTATTCATTAACTTTGCAACAAAATAATTATTCTCAACATAAGTGTATTTAGTTTTATATAAATTAAAAATTTATACAAAATAATATGTTTCTCAAAAGACTTGGATAAAAATCAGGAACCTTCTTATTGGCAGAAGTAGCATTTTCAGTACTTTAATATTTATGATACTTAACCTTCAGTTTACACTTTAAATGTCAGAGGTATTAAATCTTATTGTTAAAGTATTTGGAGAGTAAATTTAACACATCAGTTTTTATTTTGAGCTAGCTTGGACCAAACATAGACAAAGCTTAGAAAAGGTTGTCTGTTTATAACAGGTTCCTTCTAGGCTTAATGAATTAGAATGGTATTGAAGTTTTAGAACAACTTGAAATGTACCTTAAAATGTATACAATAAAAAATAGTTTACATTAAAGTATCAATACAGGATATTGGAATGAATAGTTGCTCCTTAATATTAAATATGTTTTTCAATTTGTTCATAGGACTGTATTGAAAATGGATATAGTATGCAATTATGTTCAGCTATAAAATGAAAATACATATAAGTAACAATGCTTTCCAATATAACAATTTTAGATAGCAACTTTTATATAGAAATAATACTATAACAAAATATAATGGAAATTGCATGTTCATTTAAACAGTATTTTATATAAACATATCTGTAGCATTTAATTGTATACTATGTTACTCTGAGTTCACTAGTTAATAAATACATATTTCTGAACACTGCCAGTGTGATTGTGCATAATTTTTTTTTATCTTCAATTCATCATGATCAGATACACACTGGTCTTTGTGGAAGACACATGTTATAAAATGCATCTTTTTTCCAAAACTCTTTTGATTTCCATCCACACCAACCTTTGTTTATTATTGTTGGTAAGTGTTCAGGACCTGTATAATGTGGATCCAAAATCAAGAATTTAGCATCCCCAGTAACTTCATCATAGCTGATTCCTAATATTGTATGAGCTAGTACTCCACCACCTAGGATTTATTTAAATATAAAATCATAAAAACTAAATTTACTTACTATTAGTACAAAAATAAAAAAATCTAATACCAATCATTACTGGTGTACCCTGTGTTTGAAAATGATGCAAAAGATCAGGAGCTAATGATGATACCTCTTCACCTGTAGATGCACAGAGTACTTTAACACTAATATTCAAAAGACTTTCTAGTACAAAACCGACTTCTGTGGAACCAATCCACTGTTTACTATTGACAAAATTTGAGGATTTGTCTCCTATTTCAACTAAACATTTTTGTATTTTACTATGAGAGGGTACTGGTATTTCTGTGTAGCCTTGTAACCTATAATGATAAAAAAAAATTGCATTTCGAAATGTTATATACAAAAACATCTATTAAAATGTAAATAGTCTTCATCTTAGAATTACCTAAACCATGAAATGATGGTTTGCAGAGATCTATATGCACATCCCCAACCATCATCATCAAAATTGTCTTGCATATAATGATGATACGCGTATAAACCTTGCACAAGTTTTACTTTTCGGTTACTGCTTATTGTATCTAATTAAAAAAATAATCACAACATACAGAAATAGTAATATAATATGATAGTTGTTATATTAAACATACCATCATTTTGTAAAATTGCTTCATGAGGATTTATAAGTATACTATCTCCTTGTGAATCACTGTAAAATTTCACGGCATTTCCATAACGGAAATAAGGTTTAGTCATATCTAATCCCAAAATTTTATGTAAACTTTCACGGTATTCCACTAGAATTTATTTATATGTTCATAAGAGATAATTTCA